ATAAAAAAAGATGAAGGGATTAGTCAAAGAACATGTATGTGTTGCCCATGGACACAGACAACAGTGTGGTGGGGGGAAATGGGTGGTGGTGGGTAAAGGGAGGAAAACTGGGGAACATCAGTAATAGTATCAATAATAAAACATATAATGAAATAAAAGATACCGAAAAAGAAAGGCAGAGAAAAAAAATATTTCCAAAGCCTATATCTGATAAAAAAAAAAAAAAAGCTTTTATGTAGAACAAATAAAAAATCCTCAAAATTCAATAATAAATTCATAAATCAAAGTTTAAAATGAATAAAAGATTCTAATACACATTTTACCAAAGATATATGAATAATAAGCATATAATAAGAGGCTAAGCAGCATTAATAATTAATATCATTAAGGAAATGAAAATTTTTACTAAATGAGATATCACTTCACATATATCAGAACAACAAAAACAAACTGATCATACTAAGTATTCGCTAGCATGTGGAATCTGGAACTCTCATACACTGTTGCTAGAAATATGAAATAGTACAATCCTTTGGCTAACTGCCTAGCAGTTTCTTTTTTTTTTTTTTTTTTAATCCTCACCCGAGGACATTTTTCCATTTTTTGTTCAGATAGAGCGGGAGGGAGAGAGAGGAAGAGAGAGAGAGAGAAACATCGATGTGAAGGGACACATCGAGTGGCTGCCACCCGCACGACCAACCAGGGCCGGGGACAAACTGCAACGGAGGTACATGCCCTTAGCGGGAACCGAACCCGGGTCTCTCTGGACCGCAGGCCGATGCTCCAACCACTGAGCCAAACCGGCCAGGGCCCTAGCAGTTTCTTAAAAAGATAAACATATATCTAATATATCTACCTACTCCACCCCTATGTATTTACCCAAAATAAATGAAAATATATGTCTGTGTACATGCCTGTGCATAAATGTTTATGGAAGATTTTTTCAATACCCAAAACTAGAAGCAATGTAAATACTGACATCCTGGAAGCATCTGTCCATCAACAAGTGAACCGAGAAACCAATTGTGTTTTATCCTTGTAATGGAATAATACTCAGCAGTAGAATGGATTGGTACATACTAACACATGAATTTATCTCAAAGTAATTATGCTGGGTAAAAGAAGACAAACTCCAATAAAGTACATACATATGGTTCCATCTGTATAAAGTCTAGGAAATAAAAACTAATATATGATGACAGAAATCAGATCTGTGGTTGCTTGAGGCTATGGCTAGAGGAGCAGGAAGAAAGAATAATGAAAGGAGCAAGTGAAACCTTTAGTATCCTGATCACTTGTGCACTTGAAATATGTATGATGGATTGAATGCATTATACATCAGCAAAGCTACTTTTAATAAAGCACAAACATATACACAATATAATTACACTGAACATGAGACAATTATAATTTTATTTAAAATTGAACTCAGTATTCATTGTGCATGGTATAGTTTCATAATAGGGCACAGCTCTAAATGTTGTATCTTCTTCATTCTATACTGTGTGTCTCTGTGACTACAAGTAAAATCACACCGGAGAGGTTAAAGTCTAAATTTGAACTCCTTGTAAACATGAGGTTCCTGCCCAAATGCACTTCCCAGCCAGCCATACAAGCTCACCTCCACCTGCTCCACACATATAGTAGACATGATTTCTGTGCATGCCCAGGTCTATGGCCCGTATTTCTCTTCTGTGCTTCAATGTCTTCTCAAGACCTTGCACAAAAGACCCCTATTTATCAAATTTCTGCTTCATCAAATCTTCATGTGAGATACAGTGAAGGATTCTAGACTAACTTCTATGGGATCTGTCCTCTAGTTTGACATATAAAGAGCAAAACATAGCAAATGCACCAATAACCACAACAACAAAAGTACAAATGATGGCAATGTATAATGTTCCAAGTTCCAGCAGGTAATATTTAATACAATTACTAATGCCCTTGTTGACACTCTGAGGTAATGAATGACCCTCCAGCCCACTAAATGTTAAAAGTCACCAAAGAGAATAATAAAATGCAGTGTTGGGGGAGGAGGGACATCAGGCTGGCTTAAATGGCAATGGACATAAAGAAATGTCAACAGTGAGGAGACTATAATAGGAAAATAATGAGACTACCTTATCTTGCTTTGTTCAAGGAGATTCTTAAAGCACCACTCTTGCTAACATTTTCTGCAATAAAATAAACTCTTATTCCTTCAGAAAACACATCCAAAAATCTGAAAATAAAACTCTTTCAAGCATGTGGTTGTGCCATGCAGAACGATCCTCTGGGGGCATGAGGAGCTGGCATACTGAGAGCAATGTAATTCTAGAGTCCTGAAGCTTAATTTTTGCTACAGGCTATCCTCCCTTAAAAGGCACTTGGAAAGAAAATAAACAGAACTTGGCTCTAATATTCCAGAAAAGAATTTTTTTAATGAACTTCCAGCTTAATGAAAAGTTAAGTGTTTTCAGTTACTGCATCAAACTTTTTCAGTTTACTTTTATTAACATTGTAAAAACATTATATTGTTTTCTCTCCTTTCTTTTTTCCAGTTTTTATCTTTTGACTAAAGCACATTCTTCTCCTACCAAGAAATGTCACTTAGATAAGAGACTCTCCACCTCTACCAACCTTTCTCAAAGGCTCTATTTTTGGTTCTTTGACAGAGGAGCTATAGGTTAAATGAGACTACCTTACCTCTAAAACAAAGGCACATCCAGAGAAGGGGTTTAATCATAGACCCATTTATTTTATTTTTTATTTTTCATTTACTTAATTTAGAGAGAGGGGGCGAGAAAGAGAGAGAGAGACAGAGAGAGACAGAGAGAGAGAGACATTGACTTATTTTTACACTTATTTATGCACTCATTTGTTGATTCTTATATGTGCCCAGACCAGAAATTGAACCTGCAACCTTGGCATACGGTAATGAAGCTCTTACCAATTGAGCCACCTGACCACGGCTTCATAGACACATTTATTGATTACCTATATGAGATAACCCACCCCACCCCTATGCTCTAGAACCAGCTAGGACTTATACAGAAGAAATTGCAGATGCAGCATTGATTGTCTATAAATAAAATTATTTAAATGATTATCTGGAAGGAAATAGTTGAATATGTTATGGTACACTCACACTATGGACCACAAGGCAGCTATTAAAATAAAGGGGTAAATCTATATGTACTAGTTTGGAGAGTTGTCCATAACATACTATTAAGTAACAAGGCAAAACTTCTTACCAAAATGCATAGGCATATAGCAATATCTTTACGAGTTTAGAAGAAAGACTTCTGAAAGTGATTTAGGCATATCTGGGTGAATTACATTTTTTACTTATGTGATTTTACATCATTGGTGTTATGATTATTTCTACTTCTTTGTTTTTTGTGGGGGTTTTTTTTGTATTTTCCAAGTAAATTTTTAAAAATCAGTAAGTAATATAATATATTTTCTTTTTATCTTTTCCATCATTTATTATTGGACTAATCTACTAAGTACACTGTGTGGACAGAAAGCTTATATGTCTTGATTACTGTTGTGTCCCTTATGCCAAGAACAGTATCTGAAATATTGAAAATATTCCATGAATATTTCTTGAATAGATGGGTTAATTAAATAGATTCAGTCCCATGACACTCTGATCTTGTGTCCTTGATCTATTTGGATTCTGCCTTGTTTCCATAATCAAGTACCACCCAGTGTCCCATCATTATAATTGTGTCCCCATCTTGCTCCCTTGCATTTAACATCTTTGTCTTGATTTTTTCTCAATCATCCAGTTCCCAAAGTATTGATCCTGCTCTTGCTGTCCTCCTATCAGGGGACAAAATTCTTCCTCTTAATCTTCACTGAGTAGCAGAAACACTGCAACCTAGTGAAGACTCTTCTGTTTTCTACTGTCTGCTCCCATTCAGACAGGGCCAACCCTGAGGTTATCCATTATGTGTCTATCTGGATTGCCCACAACTTCCTTAGATCACATTAGGGCTGACTCTCTAGTTATGTATTTTCCTTTGAATATCCCACTCTCCCAGGTTCTGAGTCTGGGTCTGTTTTCAGAGGTTCCCCACCAGACATCAGGTATGGTTCCAAGTTTTGATCCCTGCCAGTCTACCCCAACCTTAGGTTAACTGAGAAGTAATACCTAAAAGATGCTTTACAAACAGCCAGAAATATTCAGCTTTCTATTTTTTTTTTTTTCTGTTTTTTTTTTTGTTTTGTTTTGTTTTGTTTTTTTCACATAATGCAAACACTCCCAGGAAATGAAATACATTTTTCTTAATTTTTGTTTTTGTTGTTAATTCTCACCCAAAAATATTTTCCGTTGATTTTCTTTATTTATTTTTAGATAGAGTGGAAGGGAGGAAGCAAGGGAGAGAGAGAAATGTTGATGTGACAGAGACACATTGATTAGTTGCCTAGTTGTCTTCTGTAAGACTCCGACCAGGGCTGGGGATTAAACCGGCAACCCAGGTATGTGCCCTTGACTAGGAATCAAACCCGAGACCCTTAGGTCCATGGGCTAATGTTCTAACCACAGAGCCAAACTGGCCAGGGCCATTTTTCTTAATTTTTTTATTTATCTTTTTCACAAGGACCTTTCACAAGAATCCTTTCTGGTCTTGCTCCATGACTCTTCCTTCTCAACAGGTAATTTTCCCTTTGAGTCTCTGTTCTTAAGTAGAAATCTGTGAGATTTTACTTTTGGTTCTAGTTTCCTAAGAGACTCTACAGAGTCAATGAGATCATCTGAATTTTTTGCAACCACATAACCATGACAATGAAAGTGCATTGTTTAAAAGGTTGTGACTGCCCCGCTAGTGTGGCTCAGTGGATTGAGTGATGTCCCATGGACTGAGAGGTCTCATGGACTGAGAGGTCCTGGTTTGATTCCTGGTCAACGCACATGCCCAGATTGTGGGCTCAATTCCCTGTGGGGGGCGTGTAGGAGGCAGGGCTCAATGTTGCTCTCTCATATCTATGTTTCTTTTCTTTTTTCTTTTTTTTAGAGCACAAATGCAGTCCACCACTACCACAAATTATGCAGTTGAGTTTCCCATATTTGGGGAAATTGCAGGAGTCAGCACATCTGGAGTGTAATGGATAAGCCTCATCCTGGGGAAACCACCTTCATGATCATGGTATCTTCCCTGCCAGGTAAGTATCATATCCATGTTTCTATCTTTCTCTCCCTTCCTCTCTCTCTAAAAACCAATAAAAATATGTTTTAAAAAAATAAAATAAAAAGGTTGTGACTTTAGAAGAGATTCAGAATAGTTTGTCCAAAATTAAAGACCCAAGTACAGATTCAACAGAATTCTCTTAAATATGTCTCACATTGATAGTTGTTAGAATCCTGCCCTAAACTATTTTGTCTATTACATTTAATATTTACCCAGAGGCAATTGTTACTTGCTAGAAATTTTAAATAAAATAAAATCAAGCCATGGTATCAATAAACATTAACTAGGTTAAAATAAGTGAGAAATTATGTTGCAAGTAAGTGAAGGACTCAAGAACACCTAAATCTTGTTCTTAGTCCACTATCTTTTCTTTTAGTATATTTACTTTATTTTTATTTATCTTTATTGTTGAATGTATTACAGATGTCTTCTTTCTCTTTCCCCCCATTGCCCACGGTCTTTGTTTAAAGGTCCTAGGGAGAAATTCCTGGCCAGAGAATAACAAGGAATATTTTATATCTGTTGTGCTTAGTCCTGAATTATATGCTGGACTGTTTGATATGCCAGAGAAAAAGAGTACATTTTCTGCCTAGCTAAAGAATCCTGAAAAATCTAGAAAGGCTTGCTCCATCTACTTCTGCAAAGATCATTGTTGAATGACAGGTCTCACTACCACAATGGGGAAAACCTTGCCCAACAAGAAGCAAAGTTTCCCTAACTATGAGTTATCATGTCATTAGATATTCAAGGTCACACATCATTTAACTTTGAATACATTAAGAGACATAAAAAATCTAAGAAAAAGTTTAGATTTTACTTACATTGAGGTTTTATTTCCCCATATATAACTCTAAGACATTTTAAAGAAGAAAAAATGCTGAAATTGTAGGTGTTTTAAAAATCATAGTTATACCAAAAAGCAAAATTGTTTTCTTGCTGAGACATATTTTCAAGGGGCAACATTACCCCAACTCAAAGTGTAACCAATTTAGGAACATTCAAAACCAAGCAACACTCCAATACCTTAGAAAGAGTCTCCAGCCATGCCTACCACTAGCTCCAATAATGTGCAGCTAGCTTAATCAAGCGTACCAATGTTTAAGCCTATCCTACTAAATGCTTGCATAGGGATGGGAAATGCTCCCCAACCATAAAAAACAAACAAACAAAAAAACAAAAAACTCTGACAGAGTGCAATTGCTTTGAGTTAGTCAGCAAATGACCTTTGAATCCAGCAGGTGTGGCTTAGTTGGTTGAGCATCATCCCATCACCAAGAGGTCATCTGTTCAATTCCTGAACAGGACACATTCTGGGCTTTCAATGTCGATCCCCAGTAGGGGGCATTCAGGAGGCAGCCGATGAATGTTTCTCTGTCATCGATGTTTCTATCTCTATCTCCCTCTCCCTTCCTCTCTTTCTCTAAAATCAATAAAAACATACTAAAAAAAAAAAAATAATAAGACTTTGTAAATGTTCTAGGTGACTACACACTGGCCAAGGTATGGTCTTCATGTCTTCCTCCTGGGCTTTAGCCTAGAAAACCAGATTTTTTTTCTATATTGTGAATGAGCATGCTACTCTTCTTCTCTGTCTCTGTTCTTCCGTGACACTGGACTTATTCTAGTTCCTCTTTGAAGACCCCAAGGCCTTCCTTCTTCACACTGTTGTTTGTGTGTCCTATTTTGGTTCTCAGCAAAGACAATACTTGCTGAAGAGTACCTCTCCTGGATCACCAGACCACATTAGTTCCTGCTATCAGATGTTCCCAAAGGCACTTCTCTTCATTGCACTCATGCGACTTCCATTCAGTATCTGATTCCCCCACCAGACCATGCACTCCAATAAAAGCCAGGAAGCATGCCTGTCTTGGTTATCTCTTTATCCAAGACTCCAAGCATAGTGCCAAACACATGGTATTTGCTTAAAAGTTTTTTGAATAAATAAGTGAATTAATTATTAACTATGAAAATATAGTGCAATAGAAAATGCATTTGAGACAGGCATGGTGTGAGAACTTGTTTTCAATTTTTGAAGACCTGCATCACAGCTGGACAAGGTCTGTTTATTTGCAAGTTAGAAATAAAAAATTCTGTTTTAAATGTTTCTCCAATCTGACCATCTCTGTGCAATGTCTGCCTGAGTAGCTAGCTAGGCTTTATCAGAAAGATTCAAATCCATAATGTGCACTATACTACAAGGAGCAGTATATGTAAAAAGAAAAAAAAAAATCAGCTTTAATTTCTTGGCAGTATGACCTTGAGAAAGCCATCTGAACTCTCTAAATCCAGTTACTGACCTGCAAAAAGATAATAATGATTCCTGAGGTCACATATATGAAAGAAACTGTTCTCATGTTGAAAACATATCAGGATTTCAAATGGAAAAATATAGAATTTCAAGACTGGGAAATTTCCAAACAAATTTCCCTTGCAACCCAGTGAGTAAAGGGCCAGGCCACCGCCTGTGAACATGTTGCCTGGGAGAACCCGGCAACCCCGCCCTCTGGACAGCATCACCATGCCTGCCAAAAATAGAGTCTGGATGCTGATTTTATTTAAATAGATTCCATTCCAATAGTTTGTCTCAATATAAAAATATTTTTCCATACTCTCCATGAATTTTCAATGAAGATCAACAATGTATAAAAGCCAATGAAGCACAAACACAAGCTAAATGTATCTGGGCTTATAAGTGGGAATAGACTCACATTTGTAATTCAACCACTGCCTTCTGAGAGGTTCAGCTGACGTGTTTTAATATAAAGGGAGAATGGCCCCATTAGGAAAACCTAAGAAGTTGATGTTATAGTATATAGAAAAGAACCAGCCCTGACCTAATCAAGGACATTTTACTATCAACAGGAACTCTGATAGTAGCACCCCAGGCCATGCTAGGGTGTTAAATAGAATGAGGAGCTTAGGATTCAACACTTTACCAGCTTGTTTACTTTGAACATAGCACACATTAGCTTCTCTGAGATTTTGTAATGGTCATAAACATGCATAAGAAGAGATACATGCAGGCATAACTAGAAGGAGCTCCAACTTGGAGAAAGCACTGCTGTGGACCCAAGGCAGCAAAGACTGGGCGGGGGGGGGGGGGGGGGGGGGGGGGGGAGGGAAGCACAGACAGCGGCTGGTGGCTGTGGTCTGGGGCACTGGCTCAGAGAGCGGCTACTTCCTATCTGGGACAATGAGGGACTTGATCCTCATGGTGAGAGGGAAGAGTTTGGGGTTAGCCACCATGGGTCAATGCAAATCCAAAGCTGGCCCACAGGCTTGACATTCCTTTGGTAACAACTCCTCCAGAAATTCTGTAGAAAAGAAGCTGTCGCCAGTGAGAACCCAGGGGCTACTGACTGTGAGCTATTCTTCCCGGTATTGAATAAGATCTGAAGACAAGACCTGTGTATTCCTCTCATCAGAGTATCTTGTGACAGGCTGTCCCTGACTCCAGGCTCTCACTATCTGTTCATCATTTCCTATGTTCTTGCCACCTTTATGGAATCAGCCAGCAAAGAAACCCATAGCCCACATGAATCTTCTGGTGTCTCTGCCTTTAAGGAGGTTCAAGTTGAATCAGACACTACTGATGTAGCTATGGCCCAATACACAAGAAGAATGCAAAAGGCACACATTTACCTATGTAGGGGTCTCCCCCAGCACCCCCGAGAAATTATACATTTGTTTAGCAAAAAAAGTCAAAATTCAGGGAAATAAAACATTTAGCTTCCAGAAGCAAATCTTCTAATAATTATGGGAACAAAAATGTCAGTTTTGAAAAATGAAAAGTTTATGTAAGTCCTATGGGGTCCTCTCATGTTTTGCATATGTTTTTAGAAGAAGAATTTTTATCGATTCTGCAGAGATTCTAGCAAAATCTTTCCAGGGTCCTCAACTTTCTGTAATTCCTTCTAATGAATCCTTGGGCAAAAGAGAACAGTAATGTGAAGGGATTAGACAAAGAACATATGTACCCAGCCCAAGGACACACAACAGTGTGGGTAAGGCAGGGGAGGGGGAGCAAGGGCTGGGTGGAGATAGGCAAAGGGGCGGAAATAAGGGACATCCACAATAGTGTCAACAATACAAAATTGTAAGAAGGACAGAGTTATATAATACTCCCAGAACAGGCTTCTAATGTAAATTGATACTTAGAACGAATCATTCTTCTTGGGATTTAGTAAAATATTTATCCATTCAACAAATATTTGAGCAACTAATATACCAACTACAGGTACATAATTGAGATAGATCAACAAATAAAACAAAAATCCCTGTCCTCACAGAGCCCTCATTAAATTGGGGGAATGGGGCACACATAATGAAAAATAGACACAATAAATGAATGCATTATATAATATATTTTACAGTATAAAGATGGAAGATTACCCTGTATAAGTTTTAAAAGAGCAAGGATGGCGAGGAAGAAGTGATAAAATAGAGGTTATCATTTTAAATAGGGGAACCAGGGACCCGCTCAAGAAGATGGTCATTGAATAAAACTTTTAAGGAGGCAAAGACGTAAGCAATGTAAGTAGCTAGGTAAAAATGATTCCAGAAAATAAATAAATTCAGCAAAAAGATCTTAGAAGAGGAGTATGCCTGGAATTTGAGAAACCATAAAGGCCAACATAACTGGAGCAAAGGGACTTAGGTTGGGACTAGAAGGAAAGGTAACAGGAGACTTGATGAAATAAGACTTTCTAGAGACATGGGCTTTACCTTGAGTGAGATGGAAGATGTTGGAGAATTTTAAACAAAGGGCTTATGCAGTGGCTTCAATTTTTAAAGTCTTGATCTGGTTGCTAGGCAGAAAATAAACTGAAGTGGGGCAAGTGTAAAGTTAGGAGACTTCTGCAGTCAGTCTGGCAAGTGATGATGGGTGGCTCTGATTAGGGTGGTAGAAATGGAGGTGATGAGATGTAGTTGTATTAAGAATATATTTGAAGGTAGAGTCATGATATTTTGTGATGTTTTGG